GTGTGTGGTGGAAGTTATGTCGATGGCTGAAGAACTTCCAAGTGAGCCAAGTAGGTGGAAGTTGCACCATAAATCTCAGCAGGATTTATCGACATGTGACGAGGAAGAAAACTCTTGGACGGTGACATTCCAAGTGATCTACTTTTATGGTGGAGTAGGCTATAGTTCTCTGAATTGAGAATTATGATTATTGTCGGTGAAGACAATGAGTGCAGTAGAAGCTGTGAACTTTTTTCAATATCTTGCCAAGGTGGAATTTGTTGGGTTTTGGCAAAATATTGGAATTAAAGTTGTCCCACATTGGAAGAATACAAGGATGGTCTCCATGTGCTAGAAGTTATCCCACATCGGAAAAGTACAAGGAGGAGATGTATTTCAACTACTATAAAAGGAGCTCATGAGCTTGAGTTTTAATCATCCCAATTGAAATACTTTAAGCCTGATATACTAGCTCTAGTTAACTGAGCGGTATTTGCTTTGAAAGAGTGTTTTGTGTAATTGGGGTCGGGAAGAGAAATCTGTGTGATTGTAATAATTTTTCACATAGTGAATTTTCCCTTGTGGGCCGTGGTTTTTTCTCCTGTTTGGAGTTTTTCCACGTTAATTCTTGTGTTTCTTTATTTTATTGCTTTCTTTAAATTTCTCAGTTATTTTCTGCTTATTCCTGCGATAGAAGTAGAGGATTTTTCCCAACATAACAAACCAATGCAAAAGGAGGTTCAAATTTCTACTCAAACGAATGTTGAAAGATGGGATTAATCGAGAAGTTTAATTTGTACCTCTGTGGCCATGGAATTAGTATAGCACCACTCCTTGTTGGATCTATCTTCACTTGTTCTCACTGTACTTATGAGAATCATACGCCCACCAATCACCAATTCCTCAGCACGACATTTCAGAAACACTGAAAAATCCTTTTGGTATTGCTTTCGGTAGGCTTCCAGAACTGCCTTCGGGCTTGCATTCGATATGAAGATGCTCCCTTTATTGCTTTTAAGCCCTTCGGGAACCTAACAATGATATGATATTCACGTTCAACAAATTTTATATATATTTCTCCAACTTTACGGTTCTGTTTATTAGGTATCTTTATCTTTTCAATATAGGATCTTTAACATGCTATCGAATGGACCAAATCTTGACTCGGATCTCATTTTTCCAACCAAATACTCATTTGAATTTGTTGGACTCTATACATAATTATGTTAAACCATCGTTAAGGGAATTGACTCATACTTCTTAACTAGACCTAACTTACAGTTAGTTTGCTAATTGCTTTTAGTTCCATTGTTGGTTAGCAAACCAGAAGAGGATTGAACTTAAATACCTGAGCCTAAACACTATTATGATAGACTGATATAGTAGTGTGCTTTGTGAATAGTTTCTTTTGGCTCTCTGATTACCCGTGGAGGTAGATAATTAAAGTCCAACCACTATAAACATTTTGCCTTCTTCTCTTCTTCTGCCTCTTTTTCCATTTGTGTTACTTGGGAATTAGTTTGATTCCGCAGAAGATACCTTGGAAAGCCAATGGATGCTGTAGGAAGAATAAACAAAATGCAAGCTCGTAGAAGGGAAAAGCCTGCCGTAAAAAGAACCAGGAACTCCGGCCAAGAAACAGGAACCAACGCCATTTCCAATTTGGGTCTTCAAGTTTTGCTGGAAACTTTGGCAAGATTATAAAGATGGAATTGAAGTCATTTTCATGGAGATCGTTCAAGAAGAGCAACCCAAGTTAGCAATGGCTAGGGTAGTGGGAAAGCTAGCGCAGTAGAGGTCTGTAATGGCTTGCTTGGTGATGGGCCAGGCCATGGATATCACTTTTTGCTGCCTCACATCCAAATTAAAAAGTTGATAGAGTGTGAAGGAAAAAAATATGTCTTCGTTAACCTACTTGTTTCTAATTTTTTTAGAATTGGAAATAAAAATATGTTTAATAACTATTTTCTATTTCTTATTTGTATTTTTAACTTTTTTCGTAAAAAACTTGTGAAAGTGGAGATTCATACGGACAACCTCTTGATCTTAGATATATGTTTTAACTCATGTTGAATTATTTTTAATTAACATAAAATTCAATAGTTATATTATAGAAAGATTTAACATGTAAATTTGTCTAAAAAAATATTATTTACAATATGTAAATTTTTTTAGAGTGAAAATTATTAGCTTTAAACAAATAATAAAATTTAATTTAAAAATAGAAATTTTTTTTTTGTTTTAAGTAAATATAATTGCTTTAAATAAGGAATAAATCTTCAAAATATTTTTATAAAAAAATAGCCTTTTAACGAGAATCGAACTTGAGCTATGGAGGGAAAACTGAAACGACAAAAATGTTTAATCTATGCCGCTCTGGACGCTAAATTAAGAAAAAAATGGAAACGGCAAAAACGAAACTACTAGTTTCCAAAATTTGGTACCTCCGGTTGAAAATATTTCTCAAAATTTAGAAATAAGAATTGAAAAGATTACCAAACGCGACTTAAAAAATAGATTAATACCTAAAAATAGATTAATACCTGATAAAGGGATTAGCATAACTTCTCTCTCCAAGTACTCCTGCATTCATGGGTAACATTTCCACCCTCTCCATATCTCTCTCTCTCATATCTCTTTCTTTTTGGTGTGTGAATATTATGCAACTGATCAACTAGTTCGCCAATTATAGAAGATCAAGATAACGTGTATTATGCAAGGAGTTGTTGGCAATATTTGATTCTATTCCTGCAGCCTAAGTTTGGTGTCGTTGTACATTAATTTATGCTTAATCGTATTTAATTTAACTAATAAATATGATTATATAAAAAGATAATAAATCAAAAACTACAAACCTAACTAGACCAAGTCAAACACGCTTAAGAAATGTGCACATTGTCAGTATAGGTAGTAACTATTATTTCTTTCAAGCTTTCTTAACCATGCTTCTATGGTTTCAGGATCTCTCTCATTCGGATGTGGTATTGGTTCATTCATGTATCTCTCCTCTTTAGTCGGGCGTTACAAAGCCTTGGTCAGACAATTAGTTCCGATTATAGATATCCACTAAACATAAGCTACACGATATGGATTCCAGTAAATCAAATATGCACATAAAATTATAATTTTATAAATTACATTAAAATAGAAAAGATACGAATGCCGACCTTTTTACTTGTTTTGGTATAACTATTAATATTCTATTAAATGAATTATATAAATGTAGATTATTTTCTATTTGAACATGGCTTTATTTGCTTTCAATTTTTTGACAATTATTTTCCTAAGTGAATAGAAATATTAACATCTTTAAGTTTGGACGCCACATTCTTGAAATGGAAACACCTGACATGACATGAATAAATATTCTTTAATTTTGCAGTCCTAAAATCTAGTTTAAACATGCATGGTCACTTATACGATGTGTATCATTTAAACTTATCCATTTTTTTGCAGGTAAGGATTAGAACAATTATTGAATATATTACGATTTTCCAAGAACTGACATTAATTATAAATAGCATTCACAATACCACATAACAGTATCATTTTTTATCGATTTATTTTAGTGAAAGAGAAACGGTGAGATTGACAAACTCAATCTTGTTTTTTGACACGTGATTATCAATAATTTTTCTATATCGATAGAAAAGTTCTTCGATAATGGTTTCTCCAAAGTGACAAATTAGTAGTGGTTCAATTACAGATCTAATATTTTGAGTAATATAGTAGCCACTGTCAACAAATATATTTGGTTGGTGTGATTCTGTATCGTAGAAATCCCAATTAATTCTCGAAACTTCAAGACGATCAATAGTGAAGCTTCCTTCATTTAAGATTTCACCTTTCATTTCCGATGGAGATGGCATATAGTTTGGAATATTGAACGAGTCAACTTTTTTTGCTCCAACAATTCCCTGCAGTAATTTAGATTGATCGAGAAATGCATCAATATCCTTTTCTTTTTCTTTTTCTTTTTTGTTAATCATCAAAACTTGGGGAAAATATTGTATATATATATATATACTTTACCTCAGCAACCATGTTATTGAGAGCTAAAGACAAGAAACCCCAAACATAACAATACTCTTGGCTAGACGAGTCTTCACTTGTTCTTCCTATCATTGTTAGAACCATACGTCCTCCAATTGCTAATTCTTCTGCACGACTCTTCAGAAACATTGAAAAATCCTTCTGAAATTGCTTGTAATAAGCCTCAAGCACACTCTTTGGACTTGTACTGCCCATGAAAATCTCTCCTTTGTTATTCTCTATCCCTTTTGGAACCTGCACTATGCAAAATTAAGATTTTGGAAAGAAATTAAAATATTTGCCTACACACCAATAACTAGTAGGAGTTAGGATCCCTAATAACTTGAAAATTGCTAAGGATTCCACGTAAAAGAAATGGACTTTACTATAGTTTATAATAGACATGAACTACTTCTCTCATTACCAATTGATTTTGAGATGTCACTCCATGAATATTAATAAAAATTACCTGAGAGAGCCAATGAAGACTATAAGAAGAATAAACAAAATGCAAACTTTTGGTAGGAAAAAGCCTGCCGTAGAAAGAACCCGGAACACCATTGAAGAAACATGGACCAAGACCACCTCCAAGTTGGGTCTTCAAATCCTCCACAAAACTTGGCAAAGATGTGAAAATGGCATTGAAATCATTCCCATGGAGGTCATTTAAGAAAACTTGATATTCTAGAGGCTTTTTGTGAAACTTGTGACGAATGTCCTCCACTTGTTTGATCAGATCGGAGACAAACATGAGAGTGTTCGATCCTGAAGAGCAACCTAAATCTGCTGTAGTTAAGGTGGTCGGAAAATTTGTGGAGCGACAGAAGAAATTGGTTATGGCTTCCTTCACGATTGGCCGGGTCATAGATATTACCTTTTGCTGCTCAAGGCAGAATCTCATATAATGAACAGATTAAAAGTATAATTATCAAGAATAGTGTTATGTAAACTTATTTCATAAATATATATATATATATATATTTACCGGGAGCAAGGAGTTAGAAGCATAGCTCGTGTCTCCTCTTCCTCCATTGACATGAAGCATTTCTACCCTCTCTCTCCCCTATGCTCTGAAGAGAGAAGACGAAATTCTATTTATAATGATTTAATGTCCCATAAATTGTTGAATGAAGCCGAAATTTTGTAGATTAAATTGATGGATTAGATAAATTTAATTTGATATCTCAATGTTACCTAGTAATTATTAGATATAGATTTAAAATATATTTTATAATTTCTCTCTCAGTTCACTTAATGTTCTCTCTGTTGTAGATCCAAAATCTGTCTATTCTTTAATATTCATTGAAAAAGGAAGAAAGAAATAAAAAAATAAAGCTGAGGCACTATACAAAAATGGTAATTATAAATTATGGCATGTTTTTCAAATATAGCTAAATTACAAAAACTGCTTATCATATGTAATAAACAATAATTGCCTCGATAATATGACTCAAAAGAAAAAAAAAATTGCCTCCATAATAAACGCACCTGTGTATCTGTAATCTGTATGGGTTGATTTTAGAAATGATTTTGAAATACGTTTGCAAGGAAATGACCAAAATAGGTAGTTTGACTCGAAATCGTGGGTCAAACTAACTATTGTCCAACTGGACAAACATGTGGCAAAATGAATTAATTTTTTATTATTTGTTTTTTGGGCTTACGTGGCTCTTTTGTTTCTATTTTTTCTCCTTCTTCTCTCTTCTTCATTTTCATTCTTCTTCTTCGACGATGCTTGTTAGCCCCACCACCGATGTTTACTAGCTTCATTTCAAGCAATGATCATCGCGGCCGTGACAAACGAACCGTTACTTTTTCTCTCGGTTTTCCTCTTTTCTTTTCAGACTCCCTTTTTATTCCCAAACTAATAGTTCTATACTAAAAAGATAATAGAAATGTAACATAATTTTATAATAGATATAGATTACTCATCTCCTTCTTAATTAGTTTGAGACAAAACTTCGTTGATGTTTATAAGGTATCATCTCCCAGATTTTGGTAAGCTTGTGGACATTCTTACCAAACCGTTATCAACTGTCAATTTTATTTGGTTATGATTTAAGTTCAACGTTCGGATCCAATCTCCATTAATTTCCATAAGGGGTACTGATACATTAAAATTACGGATTATTCACGTGCTCTTCCCTTGTTATTTAGATGGTTAAATTATTGGTTTGCTGAGTTAGGTTACATGTAGACAATGATTGTCCATGCATTTTTTTTCTAAGGACTCATGGGGTTATATTAGATGTGAATTTAATCGTTTTCTTCTGATCAGAAAATAATACAATAACGTTCTTTAAATTATTAGATATTTTACTATATAATATTTGTTGTGCATAAAAATCAAGAAATTAATTAAGAACTTCGCTTTGACATGCACAAATGCAATCTGATTTTTTAGGAATATCAGAAACTATATTGTTCCTTTAGATCATTTTATCGACAAAAATTTTACAAATCTAAAAAAGATTAATAATTTTTTTATAATTTTAAAAATTATTAAAATTTAGTTGCCACTTAAATTATCCAAAATTTTATTGAAAAAATAAAATTTATTTGGGCCGACCTCTTAAAGCGGATCCGAAGGCCCAACCGACGATCCAATTCAAATCAAAAGTATGGAAACTAATGAATTGAGGATGAACGTCACAGTTGATGACCTCACACAAGCTCCTCGATCAGTCCTTGCATTTTTTTTAACACAACGTGCCCAGATTAAAATTTGAATACACGATTAGATCGGTAATATTCCAAGTCACAAGTTCTCTAACATATTTAATTTATTATGATACTTTTAAATGTTAGTCCACGGAAGTTACATTTACTATCTTTGTCTAAATTAGTAAACTTTGTTGTTCTAATCGTAAATATTAGAAAATATTAATGGCAGTTTTCATTAGATAATATCCCTCTCATCAAGGGATATGCTATATTATCTCCCAATGAGGTGGAATAGTTTCAATTTTAAATTGATTATACTTTAGTTTAGGTTGTAAGTTCCATTTTTAAATGAGCATAATGTTCTTTTATTACATGTATAATATAAAATAAGTATATTTATAAATACGACAGAAAGAGTTTTAAAAAAAAAAGTTAGGTATGTTTCTCGCCATTTATTTTGGTATGTATTTTAACATTTTAAAAAAAATAAAAAACAATATTTTATTTTTTCAATTTAAAAAATTTAGCTAAGATTTTGGAAAAGTTTTTAGAGAATTAGATTACAAAACAATGTAAAAGTAGTATTATAAATAAATAAATAAATAATAAAAATTAGTATTATAAGCTTAATTTTCACAATTAAAATGATAATCAAACAAATTTATAGTTTTTAAAAATTTGTCTTTATTTCTGATAAATTTGGTGAAGAAGTCAAATCAATCAAACTACTCCTCAAACAAAAAAAAAAAATTAATAAAACTAATATTCTAAAAGTGATAGAAGGAGTGAATTTGAAAAAATATATTTAAATGCGATTGAGTTTCCAAAATACCATTCAAGTGTGGTACCTCTGAAATCAAATTTTTAATTAAGCATAATTATTGAAAAGAGAAGTGATTTTCATAATAACAAAATGTCAAAATCACTCTCAAACATATGCTGAAGTTATTTTTAGCAACTCTACCACCATGTCAACATTTTGTTAATTGACTAAGGGGAGAAATTAAGGGTCCGTTTGGTAACGATTTTTTTTGTTGTTTTTGTTTCTTCATTTTTAATTAAGAAAAAATTAATTGTATGGCTCTAACATCCCATTAATTCAAGTATGACAAAACATTCTTTTTATTTGTATTTTGGAATAAATTGATTGTTTTCAAAATTTCTATACAGTTATGAGAATTTTCCAAAAAAAAAAAAGGCAAAGTTAGTTGCAAATGTTGAGATTTGTTAAGAAAATTGAAAGCGAAAAACAAGAAACCGTCGCATTATCTAACGAGTCCTAAATTAGATAGGGATTTACAATTCTCCAGTGGAGGGAAAAAAAAGAAGACTGAATTTAATAAATTTAAGGGCACAGGAGAATGAGAGAAGAGACAGTCTTAAGAGTGTAAACCCATATCATTAGAGGTCAATAACCTCCTACTCCAAAGGATTATTTTTTTTACCAAAAATAAATTAAATAATTCCTGTTAAAGTATAAACGTAAATATATTTTCAGATGTAGTTATTAATTAGCAAGTCAACAATTTACTAGCTACCAGGGAAATTAATAAATTAAAATATTTAAATACAACAAGAATGCAATAGTTTATGAACCCTACAATATCTGACGAACTTTGGATGATGAAACATTGCTAACGTCACACTTGGTGACCTCCGCTTCCTTAGTTCTTTTCTTTCAAATCTCAATATATTTATTAATTATGATAATTTTTTTAAACGTCAATCAGTGAGAACTGAAAAGTAAACTTTATTGCCATAATTTTCAAATTCCTTTTTAAGAAAACTCATGACATTGTTGGATAAGTTTACAAGCTGATGAGGTGGAATAGTTATAATTCTGAACGTGTTGTCATCCTGTGATCTTAGTTTTAAATTTGTTTCATTTTGGTTCAAGTTTGAAGGGTGAATATGGTTTTTTTAAGTAAAATATGTGGAGTCGGTTTCAAACTCGTGATCTCTTTGGAAATATATGTTAATTATTGTTGAACTATTTTAAAGGTAATTTACATACCCATTAAATAAGGTGAGATGGTGATATCTTTTTCTTTTTCCTTTTTGAAACAAGATGGTGATGTCTTAGAGTTACAAGAAGCCTCGATGAAGATAAAAGCTAAAAAAACTCCATTGGTTGATTTTTTTTTTAATCGTTTTTCAAAACTAATATACTTTCTACTAGAACCACTCAACGTGAGAGTTTGAGATATGTAGTGAAATAGTACCAATTTTAAAATATTAAAGTAAATTGTCTTTGTTTTAGTCTTTTTTAAAGAGGATGATTTATTGATCAAGATAAGAAATGATTTTATTTTTAGGAGTAATTTATCTTCCACAACAATGATTTGAATCATTTATGTAAGATATTATTTATCTTAAACTTGAAATTATTTTAAAATCCATCATTTTCTCAGCTGTCCTTTTTTTTTTTTTTTTTGAAAAAAGAAATAGCCTATTTGTTCAAGTTGATTGAAAGAAAGTTAGTTTTTATTTTTTCTAATTTCAAAAGAAAAAGTTAGTTAGGAAAATAATGATATGTTGGGTGAGCTTTCCTTTTCTTAAAAATATAAAACTGGAGATAAGAAAGTTGGTTCACGTCTGCCACTTTTCTTAATTGAAATGATAACCACCGTTTTCTAATATGCAAATATAGCAAGATAAAAATTAAGGATGCTAATCTACACAAAAAGATAGAAAAGTTGCAAAAAGTGGGTTTTTAGAAATGGAAAAAAACTCATCGATCATATTAATAACATATACTCCATACTTGGCATATCATATATATATCTATGATATAATATACTTAAAATTAGGGACACTAATTACATCAATAATATATGTAAAATGAATTATATATTACTTAATTAATATATCTATATCCATGAGAGGTAGCGGTCGATACAGTCCATATGGTGATCAGTATGCATTTGTATGTATCACAGCCTACTAAGAGAATCAAATAATAATGAAAATACATAGCCTAATACGATGATGATTGGTCTAAAAAAATAATCTACAACATACATCCACTCTGGTAAAATAAAAATAAAATTTTGTTTTTAAGGCATTTTTCAATTGTTCAAAACTAAGATTCTACGAATTTATAGGAAACATACAAAACACGAATTAATTCAATCAGTTGGGCAGAAAAAATTGTCGTAAAACAGGACACTTTTTGTTGTTTATTGATCAGGATATAGAAAATGAATCTGTAACCAATAATTCAAATCTGACCAGATTTTGTCCGTTAAAATCTAATAAATGAACCACAACCACATAATTTCATATAGATAGAGATGGAAAAAATAAATATTCAATTTTAATTCCATTTTTCAATTATTTTGTTCTTTTAGGGTCGGTAGGAAACTGTGTTATGTTCACACGCCGATCTTAAAAAATCTACAAAAGTATGTCATTAGATGTTCTCTGTCTATCTGATACATGACAAACAATATGCATGCATGTGAATTTTCATGGCGATGGGTCCATCGATCATCATCATCATCAGCTTTTTCAACAAAACAACAAAACAACAAAATTCATGTACGACAAATAATCAAACAAAAATGCATGTAAAACAGAATCATTTTAATTGCGAAATTCACTA